ATTATTTATATTATTTATTATATTAAAATAAAATTTATTTTCAAGATTTCTATTTATTTTCAAACTATAATTTTTAAATAATATTTTCATTTTTATAAAAATTTTATATTTTATAAGAACATCATGCTTTCTAAACATTTTTCCAAGTATTCTCAATATATCGACCAGATCTCCAACTATTTCTTAAGTAGTTTATACTCACTTAGAAGGATGCGAATCGTTCTGTTTCATAGTGAACTCCTTAGCATGTACGTTTAGCCGTGGATTAGTAATACTTGCCGTAGTTCCTTCCGTTCTTCCTCCTAAAAAATAATATCAGCTCTTAAATATTCATTAAATTTATTTGAAAATCTTAAAAAAGGAATATAAGGAATATAAAATTTAAAAATCTTATAATAAAAAATTAATATAAAATATAAACCTGGAGGTCGATAAATTTCCAAGGAAGGCTTGCTTTTTAACGTGGTTACGTTATTATTGTTGTTGTTATTGTTGTTACTGCTACTATTGTTATTATTATTATTTCCTTTGTGTGGAACCGCATCCCTCATCTGCAAGATTAAACAACAAATTAATTTCAAGCAATCACTGTTCAAAAATGCATCAATGATTGTTTACAGACATCTATATATACTGTTCTAAATTAATTTTACTAATAATAGAAGGGCAACCGTACTTTACATTAAAATTTTCCTAACTTGTTAACCATATGTTCAACTATATATTATTATATCGATCTATAGTCTTCATAAAAATTAAATTAAAAACGATTAAACTATAATGATAATTGATTCTTTCAAAAATAAAAACAATTCATTTTAAAAATCTTTTGCAAATTCAACTCAAAAAATTCATATAAATAAATATAAAATTCATCATACAATATTCGTGAAAAATCGCCAAATTAGTATATGAATTAGATATAAAAAGTAATAAATATTTTCTAAATCTTGTTCTATATATCATATATATTAATTATATCGTCTATGCACTTATTATATGTATATAATTTCTATATAAATAATTAATGGAATATAACAATAAATATGGGAAAAAAGGAAAAATATGATTTTCGAGGATTAAATTCGATTATCTCGTAGAAACATTTTACAATAATCCTTATTTTTTAAAAAATATATTCAAGAAATATACTCGCAACAAAGAGACTACATAGCGTTTCGATAGGCGAAAGACGCAGTACCGAAACAAACAGGGGAGACTCACAGTGGAAAGCGTGTGAAAATCATCATTTCCAAGGGCGTCGAGAGAGTGTCGGATGGAAATCCTGGTCGCGATAGGGTGGCAGTGACAGCGGGAACGGCAAGGTGGCTGGCAATACGAGCAGTAATGACAAACTGTCTATCAATCAGCACATGCCGCACAAAAATCTCGCGGGTTTCTCGCGTTTTCTCGTCGAATTTTCTTCCAGCTTTTTCCGCGTTGTCGCTCGGCCGCGCGTTATACAGCCGACTCTGATGACTGTCGACTAATAATAGACGGCACGGCCACGAGCGAGCGAACGAAACGAACCAACGAATATACAGCCACACGATACGAGCTTACATACGTATTAATGCGCGCTGCACCGCGCTAACAGTGGACTGAAATATCCGACGAGAATCATCCTTGATTGTGTGTCGACGAAACACGTTTTTAGGGTGGATCCGAAAATTGTCGAACGCGAACGTCCACGCTTCTCTTTGATGGTACCCGGTTCTGAGCGCGTGTTCAGTCACCTCTTCGAAGTACATGTAAAAATCGCACTGAAGAAGTAGGGAGTGAAGATTAATGAAAATTAATAAAAAAAACTTATTTAATATTTATGTTTTTGTTTATGTAGAAAATTACGTTTTCTTTATCTAAATAAATTAATCTATTATAATGAGATGATCTTTGAGATGTGCTAAAAAATAGTCAATATTTTAGAAATTTAGGAATTCTTGTAGTTTGTATGCATGGAGTTTGCGAATCTAAACTCGGTTAGTATTTTCTTAAAATTAGCTTACCCTTTATTGGTGCCAACTAGAACTTTTTTATTAAAATGCATGTAAAATGTGTGGTATCTTCTCATGCGCGATAGTTGATTAAAAAAGATTATTCATCGTTTGTTATTTTACATATAATATACAGTATTAAATATATTAATAATGATACAGAAGCACAATGCCTGTAATTAGCGAAAATATTAATCATAGATATAGATATAATATTTTGATATAATATTTATATATTTTTATATATATTATAATATAATATATTTTTTATCGATATACAAATATCAATAAAGTCCACAATAGTATCATTAGATAGTATCAATAGAAAAATTAAAAATGAAGAATGATGAATGGAAATACAAGATTTCAATTTCAATTTTTTTATTGTAATGATTTTATATTTCATAATAATAATATTTTATATTTAAATCTTTTATTTTTTTTAAAAATTATAATACAATAAAGATTTTGTCAATTCAAAATTAATGTAATTTTAATCTATCTAATATCTATTAAAAGTGGAATCAAAAACACGCGATATATTTTGGCCTCAGTTCCATCTCCGTTTGTGTCTTAAATATCTATGACTAATGCAATATCTTGTAAATATATTCACCATTCTTAGATAAAGAACATTTTTATATTATACTGTTTTTCGTTTTACATTATCTAATCTTTATTTTATTTCCGTTTTCATTAATTAACTTACCTTTGTTGCTTCTTCTTTTGCATGAGACAAACGTGCAACGCGTACCATCTTGAAGGCTAATTATTCGATTACAATGGTTGAAGACGATCAACGATTCTGCACCAATTACACTATATGTTTCAACAAATAATAATAAATAATATAAATAATAAATTTTAAAAATGATATAATAATAATTTTTATAATTGTTCTTATTATACAAAATATTTCTGCGATTGTTATATTTGAGAAATGGCTGGTTTTTTATAAAAAAAAAAATGTCAAAAATGTAAACTTCTTATAGATAAGTTTTTTTATTTAAAAAAAACAACTTTGAAAATCCATAATATTTTATATTTGATTAAAAAACTTTAAAAATAAAATTTTTTTAATATTTTATTAGTGTAAAAACTGTTCAAATATATAGAATTATATATACATATTTTCAAATTACATTATAACCCATTCGTAATATAAATATTATTATTTTTAACTCTTCAAATATTAATAATATTATATTTATAATTGTATATATAATTGTAATATTATTTCAATTGATTTTCGGTTATATATAATTACAGAAATATTTTATATCTATTGTTGAAATAAAAAAATCAATGTACAAAAAATATAGAAAAAAATACACATATATATATACATATATATATAGTTTTAGTTATTAAATTTCTAATTCTCATTTTGTATTTAAATCTATTTTCAATATAGATATTTATTATCGATAATATAGTTAATAAAAATTAATAAATTGAATCATTTATTAAAAATTAATAAATGAGTTCAATTAATTATAAATTTTTACTAACTATTAATTATAAATTTTTACTAACCTGTATACATCGTAAAGTAACGAAGAATTGTTAAAATTACTTCAAATTTGAAAAACACCTTCAAAGTATTAAAGAATTCGTTGAAAAATTTTGAAATAATCGTTCGTTCGGTTAGAATTTCGTTTTACCGGCACAGAGGACCGGAAGTGAGCTGCGACACTGATGTCTCGATGCTGGCACTCGATCAACCGATTCGAGACGACCGCGAACTTGTATTCAAATTATTATGATGAATCATCGTTGTTTCTCAGCAATTATATGATGAACCTAAATATGATTTTTAAATTTATTTATGATGCAATTAAAGTTTACTATTTTCTAAATTTTTATATTAAATATTTACACAATATTTACAAGAAAACTAGAAAACAATAATATATAAATAAAAATAAAAAATAATATTAAATTTTTAATAATATTAAAGATTTCAACATTTAAAAATGCCAGATTTTTTAAAAAAAAAAAAAAAGAAAAAAAATACAGTTAAATCGTATTCCTATGCAATAAATTTTTTTTCAGTAAATTTCCATTCAATTCTTCTTTTCTTTTTAGAAATATAATTTAATTCATATATAATTAATACATAATCGATTCATACATAAGTATAAAGAAAACACAAACCTTTAATTCAAATAATAAACTTTTATTCGAATAGAAATCAATGCTTCATATGTACGTCAAATTAAAATCTTTATTTCACACTTCATATACTAAATTCAAATGATATTTTTTCTTTTACGATGCGAGTTTATTTAACGAATTGATTAAAACTTTATCTTTATATATTTATATACTAGATCCACACTCGAATAAAATCATAATAAATTTTCGTAATCAACACTTTAAACATTTCAAGATGAGTGACACAACTTTACTTAAAAGAATCGATTCTCGAGACCAACATCGATGCGAATGCTCGACACTTAAAATTGCGACGTATGTGCACCATCGATGTTTAACATGCATGTGACGCGTATTCACACCTTCGGATCATCATGGTTTGCCAAAAACGGAAGAATATGCCTCGAAGCGATGCCATTTACGCGTACACATATTATGACGATTGAGCTGGATCATCTGCAACTCATTTAAACGTCCATGAAATATTAACCACGCACAGTCGCACCCACGCGAATGACGCTAGTTCTCCATTCTTGTATATACATGTATATACAATCAGACATTAGTATGACACACGTTGTGCGTAGTTTAAACGTTCTTTAAATGCAATCTGTTGTTTGTCAATATTTTCAGTTTAATAATAGATACTACAATTGCATTTTATTTAAATATTAGCAATAGCAATTAATAGTAGCAATATCATTATAATAAAATAATAACAAAATTAATGATATTATAGTGCTATTATTGAAATATTCAAATGGCGCCAAATTCAAAAATACTAATTATTTTTCACTCTTTTTAAAAACAAAAATTGATACATATATAACAAAAAACATGTCACAAAACATTATATTTATTCGTAAATATGATTTAAAGGATTACAAATCATGATTGCAATAAATCAATTGAAGAATCTATATTTTTTTTAATTGGAAGCATTAAACCACATATCACTTGGTTTGGCCAATGGCTAGTGTTTCATTTGCACATCATTGATGATACTTCTTTCTTCTTGTTCTTTTAAGCGCTTAATTAATATATATCTTGTGCCTCGAGAATAATCATAACACATTTCTTTATTATTCCTATTATTATTATTATTATTATTATTATTATTATTACTATTATTATTACTATTATTATTACTAT